GTTAATGCATGAAGAGTTGAATTTTTGAAATTTTTTGAACACCAAATCAAGATTTTTTATTGGCTAATTTTCGTCGATCATCACGTGATCGACAAAAACTTTCCTAGTTACCCAATCAGCGTCACGTCACGAAAGACATGGTCACGTGGCATTGTTTATCAAAATCAGGTGTAACGTGAAATTATGCACAATAAAAATTCCTCGTTTATTCGATTGTTTTTATTTCAATTTGATTAGCTGATTTTTTGAGGTGTTCTTCGTATACAATAACATAAATTTATATGAAAAACAACAATGTCCACGCAATTATCCATTCTCATGGCTTTCTATCATGTTACAGAGATTGAAGACTGGACTTGCGTTAATCTAACGAATTATTATCAAGAAAAACGGGAGAAAAAGAAAGGAAGAAAATATTTGATTACATCTAAAAAAGATCTCGGAAAAGTATTAAATCCTGATTTTGAATTCGATATGTTGCGTAAAGAAAAAGCACAAGAAATTCTTGAAACTTGGAAGGTGATGTATTAGCGGGGTATATTTGTGTAAGTTTGTGTAAGTTGAACTCATTCTGAAACTGCCATGAACTCTTTGTTCGACGCCTGGTGCAAGCTGGACTCTTTGTCTGCAGTGATGAACTCTTTGTTCGACGCCTGGTGCAAGCTGGGACTCCTTGTCTGAAAGGAATGAGCTTTGAACAGTCATGAACTCTTTGTTCGACGCTTAGTGCAAGCTGGACTCTTTGTCTGCAGTGATGAGCTCTTAGTTCGACGCTAAGCGCAAGCTGTTGTTTTTATATCTAGAAGTTTTCGTTTATGTTGCTATTGTGAAATATTTCTAATAATCTCAAATCTTATTTGCAAGAATTGGTCTTCATCAAAGAATACAGATATAGATTCACATAATACATGTGTGAAAATTGGACATTTACAGGTGAGTTCCTATTTTGAAATATAATAAGACAAAAATATTGAATAGTATTTTATCAATTAGATAGAACGGCTTGTAGCTCATTCTGCGATTCAGATCAACAATAATGATTGTCAAGATGTAAGAATAGTTATTAACTTTAAGGTTAATTACGCCATACGATCGCATACTTTTGTCTAACGATTGTTTAAATATAGATAAGCTTTGCATGCGATATTACAAAGAGAATTGAAGACGGTGTGGAAAATGTTAATCCGGAGGTGCTACAAAATGTAAATGAGTACTGTACTGTATTGAATAAAAATCATAAACGACAGTACAGTACGATACGTTAAGTCTTTTAATATCGTTACCGAAAGCAATTTAAAATTACTCTGTTATCGAGGATTCAGGTTTATTGCTTACCGGACTAATTTGTTAGAATTATGACCGGTAAATTATGTAAATTAATAAAAAAAGTTTCACTTTAAAAGTGTAATTAATTTATACACGCTTTATATTCGAATTTGCTAAGTTAATTAAAAACAATAACACTATATTATTATATATCAATGTAACTATTCGCAAAGTGGATATTAATTAAAAGTTCAATTATATAAAAGTTTTTAAAGTTTCTTTCACTACATACATTCTTTTTTTTTAACTTATTATTTTATCTTTTTGAAATCGGGCGATATGATTTTCTATGAAATGAGAATAAATTTAACGGATGAATTGATATTTTTGCTTCACCCTATAACATTTTTTGAATCGTTTTGTCAAAAATCGCTTATTTCTCAAAATCCGCATAAAAAAACCAACTTTAGTGCTCTGTGCTCTAACAAAATTTTTCCTTGAGTGATTTTACTATCTAAACGCCTAATCTCTAACCTTATTCTAAACGCTAACCCTAACATTTTGAGCTTTAAAAATTTTGACTTCGCCACAATGATCGACAAAACCTGGCACAGAATTTTTTCGTGCCCCTGTGAATCCCACAACTTTTTTTTGCAATCTGATTGGCCGATTTGCTAAAATTCGAGATACGATTGATTGACAATCAAAATTGAAATCATCTACGAATTTGAACGCTGTCCTTGACCCCAATATAGGGACGTGCTTGAAAACGGCCTAAATTCGTTCAGATTAGTATGGGTTCAAAAAAAAAAAGAAGAAATAAGCAACAGCAAAGAGTTAAAAGTCCGCCTACCTTGTTCAATTCTGAAGGCAATAGCAATAATATTTGTAATGAAAAGTCTGAACCATTAGAAGAAATTCATAAAACTGGCTTTAAAATCCTTCCCATTGAAATTGAATCAAATTCTAATCAAGATAATTTATCCGCAAATTCTTTATCAATTAAACGTAATCCACTTGTTTCAATTCATTATTGCTATTTTAAAGGTCACGATTCACGAATAAATATACAGGATAATTCGACAATTCTCCCAGCGGAAAGAACACTTTTCATTACAAATTTACCAGTAGACACAACAGAACATCATATTAAGCACATATTTGAAGAATGTGGCATAATTGACCGAATTTCATTTCATGGAGTATTAAAGGATAATGAATTTTCAGCGAGTGTGATCAATGCTGATAACGATGATGAATCAATTATAAGGGAGAATAAAACGCAAGGAAAAAAATCTAAGAAAAAGCAAAAACATAAATTTAATGAAACAGTTGAAAATTCAGTCACAGAAGGATCGAGAAACTTGCTGATACCTGGCTCAACAGCACATATAGTGTTTAAAGATTCCGAAGGATTAACCAATGCTCTTAATATGAGACAA